AAATTGTCTCATAACAAAACCACTTTTCCATTTATTCTGTCTTCTTGCACAGCCCTCCTTATGCAAGGAATTTAAGGTAAGCAAAAAACAACTGAAATAAATATAAAATGAGGTTAATTAATTAAAGATGGAGGGATTGCCTTATGAACAATGTTCTCGAAAGCTCTAGGGTACTCAACTGCTAAGAGATGCTGGAGCTTAAATGGAAAGTGCAAAGTGCAGATATTGCAAAAACTTATAGTACAAGAAGGAATCAAAAATTCATTATGCAATTTGTCTAACCTATAGCTCGAATTGGAGCATATTGTGCTATTGCACAAAAGCTACAGATCCAAATCCAAAACCTACATATGCTATTGAAAGTTCTAAAATTTTGTTATTTGAAATGAAAACCAGGGCCAAATGACATTAAATATGACCAAGCCTCCATAACAGGAGGAATAATATACAATTTCTCCTAGCAACCAATTGATTTCGGTGAATCATGTCCCTAGTCCTCCCCCTAAAGCTCAAGGTTATTTCAATAATATGTACAGAACAAAAATAACAACTACGCAGGAGCACATCGACCTTAAGATTTTGCTCCTTGAGCTATGAGAATCTCAATCTATTGCCATTACACAAAAAAACAAGCTCACATACAACTGTGATGGCAAAATATCAATACGCAAAGAAATGCTACCTCATCACAAACCTTTACTAGGAAAATTCAGTAGGAAAAAACCTTGGTTAAAGGGAAAAAAAAGTGCATTGCGTAGTTACTCCCCCTTATGAAGATATTACTTGAGATCTTTGAGTCTGCGCATTCCAATTTTGTGCACCAACTTTTCCAAACTTGTAGTAAGAAGTGCTTTAGTGAACAAATCAGCAAGGTTATCACTTGATCGAATTTGTTGAATATCGATATCACCATTCTTTTGAAGGTCATTAGTGAAGAAAAATTTTGGTGAAATATGCTTTGTCTTATCTCCTTTAATATACCCTTCCTTTAACTGATGTATGCATGCAACATTATCTTCATGCAATATTGTCGGGACTTCTTTCTGGAAAGATAGATTGCTTGTACTTTGAATATATTGAATTATGGACCTGAACCAGGCACATTCTCGACTTGCTTCATGAATTGCCAAAATTTTTGCATGGTTAGAAGAAGTAGCAACTATAGTTTGTTTTGTAGAATGCCATGAAAAAACTGTACCTCCACATGTAAATAAGTACCTTATCTAAGATTTCATTATATGGATCTGATAAATAACCTGCATCTGCATAGCCAATCAAATCTTATTTTGATATATTAGCATAATATGACGCAAAACCTATGGAAATTAATTCTAAGAACTCTATGACAAATGAAATAGCTTCAAAAATCAAACTAACTCCCCCTCTATAGCACCCATGCTTATGGAAGCAAGAACACCAACAATAGAGTAAAGAAGAACAAGATAAACGCCACAAATAAATTGATAAGTTTACCTTGTTTTTTGATGCAATTAAAGGAAAGCAATCTCACAATCACTGTAATCAAAGAACACGCTAAAAAGTATGAACAATTCTAAAATTTCAATATTGATCAACCATCCTTAGTTAACAACATAACAAAGCTTTTATACTAAGTCTAAACCCTAAAGGATATGAAGAAACTATTCCAAACAAGCCAAGGACATGGACTGGCTGAATTATTTGTTGCCCAAACCCATTCAAAACATTACAATCCATACGAGGAATGGGCTAACAAAGCACACTTGGCCCTCACATTAAAGCCCACAACACAACTAGACTGAACCATATCCAATAAGGACTACACTAGCTAGTTTTAACAACCAATAAGGACTACACTAGCTAGTTTTAACAAAACTAATCACAAATGGACAAGCTCTAGCACGGGCAAGGCATGCTTCCCAGCACCCCCAGGCCGTGCGATCCAGTATCCACACACGCCTCAAGCAATATAAGAAATTTAGATGTGCCTTCAAGCTCCACATAGCACTTGTTCCAAAGAGTCATGCTAGCTATAAATAAAATTGATATTTTACAGATAAAAATCAAAGAATTTAAAAATTGTGAATATTGTGTCGAAATGTGTCTAGTATTATTAAAATTTACAAATTTAAATGTCGACATATTGTTCGTAAAATTCAAGGTACCATAAAATTAAAATTATAAAATACGATGATTAATTTATATATTCAGCCGTCAAAATTGGCTAGCAAGTTTACACTGGGCACTCATTATCTTCTTGATCATGACTTTTACATGATCTGGTGCGTGTTTCTTGTAATTCTTAAAGCATAGCTCTCTCTTTTCTTACTTATTATTCCAATATAAGTAAAAATATGTAGCATTCCAAATGGAATGGTAGTAAAATTGAAAAAAGAAATGTGCAAATATAGTAAAAATAATAATTAAATAATTTGTATCTGTCAGAAAAATTGATAATATGAGATATCTATAGTTAGTGACAAACTACAGTGCAGTACAGAATGTACAGAATGTTAATTATTCTCATCATGGTGAATAATTAATAACCATTAGATTTTCTTGTTTAAAACTTAGCTAATTGGATGCCTAGAATGGCAAGGAAAAACTAATACAATAATAGGTAAAGAAAATTCCTATTTTAGTTTAAAAATAAAAAATTTTTTCTTAATTAGCTATTAAAATAATTTTTTTAATTATTAGAGGTTTTTACGAGACGAAATAATACTATAGACTGCATCAACTCTAGACCTTTACTCTTTACATAAAAGTGAAGACCAACAGACTCACCATTTGATGGCAAATCATTAACGTCATCCGTTCTGATAATTTCATCTTTTCTTTTTAGTTGTTCCAAAATATACCGCAGCTTTTTTGTTTTGTATTATAGTTAATTCTTTATAATTGTCTATTATACCTTGATTAAATTTTAATTTTATTTTCAATAACCCTCATTATTATAACCCTCATTAATTCTTATTTATTATTCCAATATAATAATTGCTCATGTCTTATTTAAGATGAGTATAATAGGAAAGTTATATGAATAAAACTATCATTTAGCCATAATAATTGCTACTTTCTTCATCTATGTGAAAATAAAAAGTAAACTATCTTTTTGGAACGGAGAGAGTATAATAATTGCTCATGTGTTATTTAAGATCGACATAATAGAAAAATTGTATGAATAAAATTGTTCTTTAACCACAATTGTTACTTTCTTAATCTGTGTGAAAATAAAAAGTGGACTGTTTTTGGAATGGAGGGATTATTAATATTAATATATTATTATTAACGGTTAATTTTTTTTATTTCAAATACTTATATTAATACTTCATTATTAGCTATTAAATTTTGCAAAAGCCATGTCAAAAAAAAACTTTTGCAAAAGCAATTGTGTCACTTTATTAAATTTAATATTTTAATTTACATATCCTTTTAGTTTATCTCATTTTAATTATCTTTTTTAAATTCTTCTTTACTTTATTTATAATATCATAATATATGTTTAAGAACTAGTGATCGTGGTTAAATTCTTTTCTTGGTATAATGCAGTGCATATAAAATATTACGTTCATATTTAAACATTCTATAAGAAGGATTACAGTTGTGTACTTAACACATCAATATATATATATATATATAATATATATATATATAGAAAAAAAATTTTCTTAGAAAGTTGACATGTGGCATATCCACTTGGCATTTTAATTTGACATGTGCCCATATTTTTTCAAATTAGGACTTTCATTTAACATGTTTTAATTTGATTATTTAATGGTATTAATGTATTGACTTGGTTTGATTGGTTTGAATTTATTTTGAATTAGTGTTTTTGGTTTGGTTTGATTTGATTATTCAATATATTAATGTATTGGTTTAGTTTGAATTTATTTTGAGTTAATATTTTTGATTTGGTTTGATTTGGATTTATTTTGATTTAGTGTTTTTAGTTTAGTTTGATTTGATTCGGTTATTTAATGTATTAATGACTTTAAGTAATTATTATTAATTGTTAGTTCTTAAAAAATGATAAAGTTTAATAACAATGAATTATTCAATTAATGTATTAATTTGTAACAAAATAAATTATTTATTCATGAATTTTAATGAAACAATGAGTTATGAATTTTAATGAAACAATGAGTTAAATATTTTTTACATTAATTTTAAAATAAATCAAATTAATGAATTTTACCACCTTTTATTTTACTTTTTTTTTAATTTATCTTTATAAATTTCAATTTTTTTAATCTATTATTCCTAAACACGTACCTATCTACTAATTTTTATTTTACTAAAAAAAAGACGCTATATTTTTTTTATTAATATATCTTTATAATATTTTTTAATAATATAATAAAAAAAATTTATTCAAAATTTATAATTATATATGAATTCTCTCAATTTTACTTTATTTTACTTTTTTGAACAGTGCATATTGCTAGTATTTCTAGTAAAGTTAGATGAATTATAAAATAGTTTATATTTTCATTAACAACATATAAAAATTATAAAGAATTTTGTAAAAGATGATTTATTTTGTAAAAATCGTCGCTGCAAAATAATTTCTACTTTTACGACATGTAAAAAAACAAAATGTTTTGAAAAAAAAATATATTTTTAGTAAAAAAAAAAAAGCATTTTTATCAATATATTATAAGATAATAAAAAATCTAGTAAAAGTGAAAATTACAAGATAATTTGTAATTTTTCATCTAGTTAATACTTAATAATAAATAATAATAAAACTCCAACTGTAGAGAATCCAAGTAGCCATTGGAGAAAGGCTGGACATTTCTTTTCTAATAAAAACTTAATAACTACGCTAAAAAAAAGGGAAAGACGAAATTGGATTCACTCAACAGAGCTTTCCTTTTCCTCTACAATTTTATCTTCATTATCCTTTTTAATTTTCTGTTGCTTGAGAAAATTGAGTACTTCTCCAAGAGCAACATCAGGATCATCACTCTTCAATAATTCCTCAGCCAAAGAAGCAGGAGTGGCCTCCGCACTTTGTATCAAACCATCAATTTCTTCAAGCAGTTTATGCTCTCATCAATTTCTTCAAGCAGTTTATGCTCTTTAATTCCAAGGTAATTGTACACCAAAACTCTAAATCCTTCACTGGTACAATATGACATGTGAACGTGCATATCCATTCTGCCAGGACGTAGCAATGCTGGGTCCAAAACTTCCTTGCGATTTGTCGTAAACACTATTATCCTTTCTTCTCCACAGCTTGACCACAATCCATCAATACAATTTAGCAGACTAGAGAGCGAAAATTGCTGTTTGATCCAAATTAAGAGAAACAAAAACTAGTTTTAACCAATCCCATTTCTAAAATAAAAGTATCAATAAAACAGAGCATAACAGAGTAGACCAAAACAGAACAGATACTAACCTTGTCATAAATGGATTCATCACAATCATCAGATTTTGATCTTGATCGATTATTTGATCGATTATGCGCAGTAGAATTGCAATCTATGTCTTCAATCACAGTTATGGACTTCCTATGAATATCCAGCATAGTTTTTCTCAAATCAGCATCAGAAGTAATATGGGCCAGCTCCAAATCATACACATCAAACTTGAGGTAATTAGCCATAGCTGCAATTAAGCTTGATTTTCCAGTGCCAGGAGGACCATAGAGTAAGTATCCTCTTTTCCAAGCTTTTCCAATTCTCTTATAGTAGTCTTTCCTTGCCAAGAACCTATCTATATCATCTATAATAGACTTCTTTAGATTGTGATCCATCGCTCTTCTTTAGATTGTGATCCATCGCTAGCGCATCAAATGTCGATGGATGTCGAAAATCAGTGGAATTCCAACAACCGCGAGACCTTGTATAAAGCTTTAAAACCTTTTCGCCTTTTGTCATGGCCTTGGAAGTATCCAAAATGTGGTTTAAGTAACCATTAAAGATTTTTTCTCTATATTGATCTTCAAAGTTTAGTTTAAAATAACCTTTGTTATAGAATTTATCATTATTCGATCGATCGTCGTTTTCTTGCTTTGCAAATTGCCAGGTAATTTCTGTCCCTTCATAGACATCAACAACTTTCTGACCTTCTACTAAGGCAGCTGTTACATTCTTTTGCCGTCTAAACTTACCAATTCTGATTATTTTGTTTTTAGGGCCGATCTTGGAAGACAAGTAGAATCTTGCTGCGTCTATGAGATTGTTGCGATCAAGACCGTCCCACGAATCATCAATTATGAAGGTATCATAAGAAAGAGATGATTTTCTACGAGAGAAGAAGAGCAAGAATTTTGAGACAAGAAAAGTCTCGAGCGTCTTGGGTACTAATTCATGGTAAACATTACGCAAGAGCATTAAGGAAGTGGAAAATGAAGCGTACAAGGACAATAAAGAGGATGTTGAAGGGTAAAATCTCGTATTCTCTACAAAAGAATAAGCCATGGTTGGGTGTTTTTGGACAAGAATAAGCCATGGTTGGGTGTTTTTGGACAAAATGAAGAAATTTTTCGGACAAGATGAAGAAGCAAACACTGTTTGTTGGTGTCTTAAGACAAGATCAATATCAAGAAGCAATATTGAAGAGAAGGGAATGTGGGAGTGGTACTCTGCTTATAAATGAGTGAAACTGTGAAAGCAAGCACTGGAAATTGAAGAAAAGTTTCCAGATTAGTGCTTGGTGGGTGGTGGCGTGTGCGAATGGAGTTCCTCCTTTTTTACTCTTTTTTATTACTTCGGAGTATTCTTCAACTGCGCTTTCGGTGCAAATTGCATACTGATAAATCTAAAACCATAATTTAAAATATATGACAAATTAAATTTATGATTTTAAATTTAAAACAGTCCAAGTCCATATTACCAAAAAAAAAAAAAAAATTTAAGGGTCCAAATCAAATGAAACAAAAAAAATATAGGCGAATTCATAAATTTACCTCTAAATTTTATTACTTTAACCTTCTAATACTCTCAACTTTTACTTTCACCAATCAAATACTTTAACTTATCAAATTAAATCTATGAAACACTTTAATTTTTAAATTCATTTTATTAAATATTTTAATTTAAAAAATTAAATCAATTAAACACTCATTAAAAAAATTTAAAATTTATGAAAATTATTTTTTCAAAATCATGCTAACTACATGTTAAGCTGATATTTTGCAGATAAAAGTCAAAAACCGTATAAATTATTAATATTAGTGTTAAAATGTATATAATATTATCAAAATTTACAAATTCATGTGCACAATAGATCATCCGCAAAGTTTAGGATGCCACAAAAATAAAATCGCAAAGTACAACGGTGAATTTATATACACGAACAAAAAATATATGTAGTATGTTTTTTATGTATATTGAGATTAGCAAACTTATTTCACATTAAGTAATTGCACACTCAAAATTTGTATATGTGTTTTACACTAATAAAAAGTTAATAATTATTTTTTTATTCATAAAAAATTTATAAATGCATAACTATTTTAATTATACTTTTTTTATAAAATAAGCTAAACTAGAATGGATTCATTAGATTTATTTATTCAGTCATTTAAAAGTTTAATTCAGTCATTTAAAGAGTATATATATATTATATATATATAATATATATATATATAATATATATATATATATATATAATATATAAAAGATGTCTAATAGATGAGAATGATACATGGAGAGACTTTAAACTCGATATTTTCCCTCCTTATTAGAAGAATTGGAAAGAACAATCTAGAATAGACCAAGTTCCAATTGCGTATCTATGGCTTCTCACATTTCTATTTCTCATTTCTTACATTTTAAATATTTTTATCAACCACCGTTACATTTCCGGCTCTCACACTAATTAAGAAGATTAAAAAATAGTCCATTCTTCGAAATTTCTGAAGAATTGGTGGGCAAGTTTTGAATGGAAAAGAATCAACACTTAGGAGATAAGTTTACTGGTATGCTGATGTCATGCACGACGATATGAGGATGACGTCTGATAATAGCACTGAACTGAATCAGTTGCGTCCACGTGTTGGCCAATTCTACGAGTTAAGGGATTTGTCCTGCAACTTATTCTCTTAATCAATAAGTTATCTTTTATTATATATTCATAAGTAAAAAGACTTAAAAGACATCTTGATTTTTTTTTTTTTTTTAAAGATAAAAAAGTATTCTGTTTTGTCGTTTTAGCTTTTGAATTTTTTATTCATTTCATATTGAGAACCTTTTAAACTATGTTTGGAAAGGAAAATAAAGTAATGAAATTTTGAAAAAATAGCTTAATTAAGAAAATAATTTCAATAATAAAAGTACCTTACAATTTAATAGAGAAATAAAAAAAAATTTAAGAATCCAAAATGATAACAAAGAAAAATAAGTTGAAAAAAAAGAACAAAAAACCAAAACTAACAAACACTATAATCATAATTCGCTAAGTTTAAATTATCAGTTCAAGATTGCAATATCTAATGTTATGTTTAGAAAAAGAGAAAAGAAAATAAAGAAGGAAAGAAAATAAGAGAGAAAAATATTAAAATATTGCATTATCTATTTGCCTTCCTTATTTTCTATCCTATGTTTGGATTGAAAGAAAAATCTAAGGGAGAAAAGAAAATAATCTTTCGTTTGGAAAGCCTAAAATTATGGAGAAAAGAAAATGATATTATTATGAATTTTACATTTTTATCCTTTGTAAACATTATTTGAGCATCTTGCAATTAAATTGTAATTTATTACTTGGTTAATTATAATGAATTAATGATTTTTCAGTATGGAAGTAAAAAAAAAAATAGAAAAATATAACATTTATAAAAGATTAATATTTGTTAGCAAATAAAAGATTAATATTTGTTAGCAATACTTTGTTGTTCTATAAATAAAATTTTAATATGATTGAATAAAATATAATTTTGAATAAATGTTTGCATGTTGAAATTAGTCATGGCCAGTTCATTGAACTGCCGGTTCAAAATTTTTAAAATATTGAACCTGAACTGACTCTTGAACCGCCGGTTCCGATCACGGTTTTCTGGCTATATATGTTTTTTTTTTTAAAAAAAAAAATCGGTTCTAATGTTATATTTTTCTTTTGAAAATATTAATATGAGTTTACAAAATATTGGTAAATTTTATTTTAAATAAATTTTAGAATGCTCATACTCATATAAGAATAAAATTAATTAATTCTACAAAATAATCAAATAAATTATCACTTTAAAATTTAATCACTTTATTTTTGTTTTAATTTTATTAATTAAATATAATTATAAGAAAATTTTGAAAAAATGCTTCTAAAAGAATGTTATTTTAAAATTAGTAAACAATTTAAAAGGTAAAAAAAAAGTTAAAATCAATATAACGTTTAGACAAAATATTTCTCTCTTTACTACCATGTTTACTTTTTAGAATTTTTAAATTTTTAAAGTTAAAGGTGGTTATTTTTTTTTTAAAAAAATCTTAAGTATAATATATCAATGCAAGTAAAAATATTATTGAAACTTTACATATGTATAAAATATGCTAAGTGATTATCATTTTTCAAAAATAAAATTAGAAAATTTTTCGGTTCGAACTAGACTAAATCGCTGGTTTTAACGCGGTTAGGCTAGTTCAAAATATCAAATTTTAACATTTCATGAATCTTAATACGGGCCTTGAACCGCCGTTTGATTCAAAACTTTGAACTAAAGGGAATCTAATTCCTATTTATCTATAGTAACGGTTCGGATTCTGCGTTCAAAAGTCAGTAGCCATGCACCAGTGAAATATTTAAGTGGTTAGACTCAGAAATACATTCCACAAATATGTGGTCCAATAACAAAAGCAAAGATAGAAGAGGGTGTTTCAGTAATTTAAACCAATAAACAGCAGCATTTTTCAACTTAGACAAATTGTCTGGTAGAATAATAGGATTTATGTAAATGGAGAGATTATAAAGAGCAAAGTCTAAGCACATTTGTAGTAATTTTTCTGCATATTTTCAAAAATGAATTTTAAATATAAATGATTCTTGTTTTGAAATATTAGAGGAAAAATGAAAATGTTAAAATGGTTTGTTTTTCATATTTTTAAGTTTATTCTGACATCCTTTCCTTTGTAAGCAAAAAAAATCCATGATTGAGACTATCAAAAGAATCGCTCAACAAAAAAATTGCAAATCAAGAGAGGAAAAGCGCGAGGAGGAGCGCGACGGCGCCGTAACATACGGCTCGATAAGTTTTAGGTCAGATCAGCTTTGTGGAACGCAGGTTGTCCTCTTTGTCAACCGAATGAAACTCAAAATACCACAGAGATTCCCTAGCCGTCGCCCACATGCTAATCCATGGGCAGAATCGTCAACTGTGAAAAGGGGCGTTACAATTTGAAGCGATGACGCGAACCATGCATAGTATCGTCTGTCTTCTACCTGTTTAAAATCTTTACAGTGCAAAATCTTAACGTGTAATGCACTTAAAAATGACTGCAACAGAAAAACCAGTCCACCGTAACCTAGCCATACACATTACTGCATCTATTTGAGTAAATTTCTACTGCTTCTCATCCCCATGAAAGTTTTTTCTTTTCTATTTCGTATTTTTTTGAGATATCTTTGAGAAAAGAAAAAGAATTTTCAAAATAAAATTTTTTAGGAACGATCCCTGACCTTTCCCAATTTCCCCTTCCTTATTTTGAATTTTGTTTAACTTAGTTCTTTCTTGTCCTTCAAACCTGGGACAAAAGAAAATGATGTTTTTATTTTTCCTTTTAATTTGGAAAGAAAGTGAAATGTTAAAAAAAAATAAAAATAAAATATTAATAACTTCATATAATTTTAAAATTAAGGTTGTTTTAAGACGTGTATTGCACGATGAATAATTATAATCAAATTAACGTACACACAGGTGATTATGTTCTAGAATCTTGGTTGCCGTTTCAAAAAATTTGGAATTGAAACCGAATCGAAAACTGATGTTTTCCAGTTCCGGTTTTGGAACCGAACATTCCATCTCTAAATTCCTATATTTTTTTAACGTTCTAATAATCGACGTCCTGCTGGTTCTTCGATTGACTTTTTGACGAATCGCAATAATTATAAAAATCAAAAGTTAGGGAACATTTTTTGTGAAAAATTTAAAAATTAAATATTTATAATAATTTAAAAAAAACTTAAAGAATAAAATTGATAAAAAAGCTTAACTTTAAATTTATTTTTTTAGAAAAAAGGCTTGAATTTTTTTTTTTTGAAAAAGGGCTTGAACTTAATTATTTTAAAAAAAAAAGGCCATAGAACTTAATTATATTTTTTAAAATGAAAAATGGAATATTTTATAGCGAAAATCCCAAAAAAATTAACTTTCCATAAAATACTCCTTACATATATAATCGTTATATTAGTTTTGTTAGGAGGGTTTAATTAGGAAGATTTCAAAAAATTCAAAAAAAATAAAAAAAACATTGTTGGAACCGGGTGAACACAATTTCGGCCGGTTTTTTGAA